ATTGCAATCTTAGATTGGTTTAGTCCGTAATGGGATGAAAAATCAAATTTTAGATTGCAAAATCCAGATGTAGATTGGTTAAAAGGAATGCAACCTTGCATTGGCTGATTACCTGGCTTGAATTCGCTTCTAAATATTTTGCCACATTTACTGAAAGTAATAGCTTTTGTTTTCTTTATATTTATCCTCATTAGCCATTTCTTAACGTATCAATATTAGTAATGGAACAACCTCTTGGACCCCTCACTTGCGGTCTCCTACCCCGATTATGCCTCCTGGTTTGACAGAAGAGGCGTGGACGAGGCAGAGTTTTGCGCAACCCGAAATGTTAACCACAGCTCAAAACAAGACTACTGTGTTACGTTAATGATTTATTTGTTTAACAACATGGTTTTCCGTCTTACATAGCTGAATACTTGATGTATTTTCTATGTTACCAGCTGCTTACAATGTCTCATTTTTTTAACTGAATGCTCAAAATAGGATCATTGATCGACATACTCTCTGGATTATTGTAAGAATTGCCTGCGAACAAATCTTTGGTCTGGGCTCCTTCAAAGTTTTTGTTGGTGTAACCGACCCAATTTCCACCGTCCACCTTTACACTTCTTGCACCACTGGGAAAATCAGCTGACAGATCTTTCTGGGTGGCCTTGTAAGGCTGAAAACGAAAACGAAAAAGAAATAAGCAAACAAGGGTCAGGATATCAGTCTGTAACGACAATAGTTTAGCGCGATAGAAGGAATGTGGGTACAGTAGATGATAAACCAGTACATTGTCGATGCCATGGAATGTAAGAGACTATAAAGGGGACAGAGAGGGCATCCCCCATATACACCCTATTCCATAGGTAATTCGTCTCGAGTTATTTTTAACACCACAGATCTCAAGGGGGATTAGACAAAAGCCAATCACACAGCGCGAATGTGTTCCGCGTGGATGACCCACGCTGAGAGCCACGCGTCCTTCACGAAATGACGCAGAACAAAATGGGGGAAGACGCGGAGAGCGATTTTGCTATTCCTTTTGTCGACGAAAACGACTACAGCGAGATTTCTGCGAAAGCTGTGTCAGCGAAACCGAAATTAAAAAA